GGTCTGGGCATTTGTCCTGCGGCTATGCCACATGTAAGAAATTTCAGCAGAGCAGCCAGCACTGCGATATAACACGCATGTTCCGTCACCCTGAGATCTGAACATGAACACGTCCTTCTTAAAGGCAGAAAAGATACAGCAGCAAGTAATCACTGCAGTCAATACATCTCCAAGTAAGCTAGCGGGAGAAAATAAAACCACCCAAGAAAGTCAGGATTGTTTTTCCAGGAAAAGAAGATTCCTCCTGTGACCAAAACTTAAAAAAAAGAAACAGATGGAGAAAGGGGACCTCAAAAGTAGGACAAGAAGCTTTGCAGACAGGGAGTTTGAATGTAGCGAGGAACACACTACTGCACAGGAGCAGCATGAAACTGAAGATCTTTGAGATACCTTATCTGTATGCACATTTCACTGGTGCCAGAGATCCCAGCACTGCCAATAAAGCAGAGCTGTAGCAAGCCTAGTTCACACAGAATGAGCAGAGCTCCTCTGTCATGGGTTGATGTACCTCATCGGTATGAGGCCTTTGTTAAAAACAGTGCTCTGAAGTAGAGTTGAGATTTGGAGAGCAGAGTTGTGTTTCTGAATTAGGCAGCTTTTGGTGACTGCTACAAATGTTTGTCTATATTGTACTTTAGTATCAAATTACCTGTTGAACAGTCAGTGTGAAGGTATTCAGAGTAGGAAATAAAAAGCAATATTTTTGTGGGGCACCTGTCCTATGAACTATCCCCCACCTTAAAAATTGAGGATTTTTTCCCCCAGAATTGATCACAGCAAGTGTTCCCTGCAATAAAGAGACAGTGTTCGGGTTATTAGCACCCCAGCATCTGCTTGGATCCAAATTTGTGCTCATAGACTTACTTGGGACAGATATAAAAGACAAAAGACTTTGTAATTAAGGAATGGAGTTCTTGGCTAAAAAAGGTATTTCAAGCACCCACTGTTTTACTGTCGTAGCATGAGTATTGGAATATATTTTGGATTCAGAAAACCCTCTCCTGTCTCCCATCCCTCCTAAGAGACTGTTAATGGACATCTGAAATAAAATTTGTTAAAGACTGAGTCAAACCAGATTTTCCACAGTAAACTATTGAACAATTTAGAATAGCAGAAAAAAAAAAAAAAAAGGCTTTCCACTACTGTGAAGAGGCCATGCCACAAGGTAAGAAAAAGGAACAGAAATCCAGATGGCATGTTTTACCTCCTATGGCTGTGATGCAGCATACGGGTTATGCTGGCCCAAGATCTCTGAACACATCAAAGTGGGTTGAACATATGGACACTCACTTACAGTACAGCTCTGAGAGACCTAAGGTGCTGCCTACACATCAAAGGCAACAGCTTAATGCTGCATAGGGTGTTGACAGTCTCTCTCAACACCCTCTGTTAACAATAAAATGTGTGACCCTTTAAATTTTTTAAAACCCTTACAAGTTTGACAAGTGCTTTAAAATTCATCTCAGTGAAATACCTATGTAAATTGGCCGCTTTACTAATGCAAGAATAAATAATTTAGAAATAACTGCTTTAATATTTTAGATCTCAACTCATCATTTTGAAGTAGTAGTTAGTCATTCTATTTCTATGCATTGGGCCAATGACTATCTCTAATCAGCTATTCTGAAAATGAGAAGAATTGAAGTGGCATAAAGAATAATGGAAAGTTTCCATGAAATTGTTTCCTCCCTCCACATTTGTTACCAATGTTCTGATATACTTAAAAGCAAATGCAAGCAGGACTCACTTCTCATAAACTTCCAGCCATGACTGTACATTATGCTACAATAAAAATTACTTTGTGTATTTATTAACCCTAGTTTACAGGCATTTTAAAATGTCAACATGTTTCTCTTCAGTTTTGCTAGCAGAGAAACAGAACATGATTAGACATCTACTGAACAGAGTAAGTTGATGAATGCCACAGGGAATACGCAAGCTCATATGCAAGCAAGGGTCAATTAATAATGAAAGGTTTTTGCTGGAGGTACTGACAAACATAGTTGGGAAATTTGTAGTAATTAAGATCACTTACAGATAAGATAATTCCATAGCACGTGATGCCACTGGTGCTTAAGTGATGTGATTTCATATTTGTATGTAATGGGAGGTTTTTTCTTTAACCTGTGCCTCATTTTAATAACCTAAATGATATTTTTAAACAGATACAAATGCACATGCGCATCATCCTGGACAAACTGAGATTTAGTGAAATATCAATTCAGTAACAGTCTATTCCACACGACAAACATTGCAAAAGTCTAATTCACCTTCTTAACTGCTATAAAAAGAAGTCTGTCATTTCACTCTTGCCTTTGAAAAAGTATTTTCCATACTATCAAATACATTAAATCAAACCCCACAAATAGCAGAAGGTGTTGTTTTGGGAAGCACAAACTAATGAAAGGACACAATCCCAAGTAAGGAGGTTATATTTGGATTAATTGTTAAAGATTTCAATAGACACTCTACCTGACCTTTAAAAAAAACACACCAATTAAGTAAAAATTTTAAGAGGTTTAGTGCGTTCCATTAATTTGAGTACTTCGAGGAAGTATTTTCTAAAAGGTTTTTAAAAAAAACATAATAAACTGGGATTTTAAAATTTATGTAGTCATTTTTCCAAATAAATTTCTTGCAGAGGTTCCCAAATTTACTTGGCTTCTGCATTCCCATGAACAAAGGCTGCAACAGCAGCGATTATCCCCAGAACACCTACCTGCACAGGAGGCGCGTGGTCACTTCAGCACCTTGCACACATCACAGACATGATGCAGTTTGGAAACCTCTGCACTAGCAAATATTTTTCAATTAGAATTTAGATCTATCTAGCCAGCCTCTTTAAATGATTGCGTTAATGAAAAACAAGCATTTAGCAGTTACTTGGAAGAACTGTGCAATGTGTTAGGCATGTTACTGGATGCCAAGGGTATTGATGTTTCACCACACTGACTACAAGAACCTCTAAATCCTTTTGTCATGTTTCTGTATTTTTTAAATTATTAAATCAGAAACTTCTGTGATCCTAACAGTGGATAAGCAGCTTGTTAACAGCTGTCTCAGTGGAGCATTTGTCTGTCTGTCCATCCATTCATCCCAAAGGTTCTTTAATGTGGAAACTACCCAGCACTTTTTCTTCTTCACACAAAATTGTGAGACAACGCTAGGATACCTTTATTATATTAACATTACTATAGTAAGATTCAAAAATTATTTATTTAGGCAAGGAAAGCCAGAAAAAGAACTAAAGAATCAAGACAATCTTCCCTAAGAAAGATGTTTGCCTGCTAGTTATTTGGTTGTGTAACTTGAGAGCTGTTTTGAGACCCGTGGTGCTTCTAGCTGTTTAGACAGCAATCAGTATAGTAGTTTCTTTCCATTTTTCTTCGTTAGAACTTTTGTTTGAGAGTGGATCTTGAACATTTTTTGCTACTTACATTAAACAATCATTCACAGGCACAGAAGTACTACCAATTACCTAGTGAAATCAGCTGGTAAACACTCATGAGGCAAATTACAGCTGGGAAAATTCAAGTCTCATAATTTACCAAAAGATTTAAAAAACAAAACCAAAACACACACACCCAAATTAGTAATTTTTTATATAAGGGAGGTTGTATGTCCCTCTGCCCTCCAAAGAAAAAGGAAAATAAAAAAAACTGAAACCCAATCCAGCCTAGGAACCAACCAACCTTAAGGAGATGCCGTATTTCACAAAACTTGAAGGAAGTCACTTCGGGGGGATTTGTGGTGTCATCTGAAATGGGGAATACATAGTTGCATCATAAAAACTGTAGCACAACATAAATACTATTTAAATATTCCTTAAGCATAGAAGTTTAAAAAATGTTCAGCAACACAAGCAAATGCTGTGAAACTACCAAACATTTTGGATCTGAAGTGAGTGGTAGGCTCTCTCTTTCTTCTTTTTCACAAGCCCTTGGATTCTTTACACAGCCTCCTGCCATTGCAGGGCCTCCACACCTCTCAAAATATCCTATAAGGGAGGCTGCAGGGTAGAACATGCAGGTGTTTTCTTGCTACTGTTGTTGACAGAAAAGGCAGTCGAGACCCTCACCTTATCCCTTCCTTACCTTCTTTTCCTTTGTCTGCACACTTGAAGTTTAGTCTTGCCACTCAGAAAAGTGCTGTCATCTCAGCGAAAAGGATGAAGAAGCTCAGCTTCCACCCTCTGCACTGCTGGAGCACAGAAATGATGGAAGTAGTACTGTGCTAGACAGCTGGTGAAGGGAGAACAAAGCCAGCAGCATGGCATGGCTATACAGCACAGAAACGAGACTGGCCACAAAAAGACAGGCAAGACGTATCACGGACATTGATCTATTGCTGTATCACCCCCTAATAATGCTGCCTTCATGTAAAACTAGATGTAGGATGCTACTACACATACTTCACATACCCTTACAAGGAAAGGAGTCAGTTTGCCTACACACCCCAAAACTACTCATCTCACTGCTTATAGCACAAAGGGACACCACTTACCAAGGTTTTGGTTGGTAAAAGCATAGATAAACAGATAATAAAAACCTATCTTCACATTGTCAACAGAGACTTGCAGATTCAAAAGAAGTTACGCACCTGTCTTCTTCACACTTAGACTAAAGAGTGAAGTCTCCACCATTAATGATCTAAACCAGTCATTTTATTTTCTTTTCATTTCTTTCTCCCCTCACCTCTAACATTAGGTAAGTTTCAAGGCATTAGAATTTCAAGAGTAAAAAGAACTCAGTGACTGAGCAGGAAAGAATACCAGATAGACCACTACAAAACTTCAGAGATGTACAATTTTCCAATCCAGAAACACCTAGAGCACATATAGCAAGAATAACAAGACTGTAAAAAAAAAAAAAAAAAAAAAAAAAAAAAAAAAAAAAAACAAAAAAAACACCAAACCAGGAGCCTTTACAAGTACAATTAAAAATTTATTTTTCTCTTTCTGCATTGAAGTGAGTACATGTTTACACACAACGTGACAGAAAAAAAATCATCTGGCTACTAAGGTTGTATTTTTCCTTTGTAACAGTCCAGGATATCAGCAGGGAAACAGAACAACAGAAAAAACCCATAATTGTGGATGGCATATGATCCAGCACCTCTGTTTTTACTGGTGGGTTGTTTTTTTTTTCCTTAATATAGGATTAGACCACCCTCACCCACCCCCAAAAACGCACTCACAGCACACTTTGGGCAAAAGTCCCTGAACATACCCTCCCCCCCAACAAACATTCAGTACATTTTAAAAAACAGGCTCAGTGGCACTTTCTCTTTAATATGACTTCAGTAACATTTTGAAATATAGTGCATCATCACTGCAATTCACTTTGCTGTAAGGCTAACTTAGACATAAGGCAAATATTACCTTAGCTCTCAAATATTCCATGATAAGACACCCTTAGTACATACATCTCTGTTAAATGCAGAGATGCCTCGTTTCCCTTCATTGCTTTTCCTCCTGATCAAAAAAGCAATTTAGGGAGATGGTGTGCTATACTCATCACAAATTGCAAGATACTAAAAAGTTAAAAAGAAACAGCAATGAATAAAAATAAACAGTATTCACATATCCAAAGCTTATTTCATTCACTTAAATAATTTTATCTGCAATTACAAAATACATACACTTAAATATCTTTGTAAGAAATAATAATCTATTATATCACAGATTATTATTTTCTTTTGATAATCTAACTGCCCTAACTCCAGCATAAAGATATACCTGGACAGTGTTACTACCAAGGATGTTTTCCTATTATAATTAACCTTCTTAAATATACAGTAAGTTTTCTCTAGCTATTCTGACAGATAGTGCAAGTAAAGACATTCTTTGGGTCACGATTTTAAAATATTACTGCCAATGCTATCCTCAATTTAATATTGTTTTAGTAAATGAGTAACAAAATATTATAAGTATACACATTTTCTAACATCTGTTTTAACAATGCGTTTTCCTCAGTTACGTCGGCTTAATGCAGACCACAAAAAATGAGTAAGCTACAATACTGCTCACCTATCCAAAAGGTATGTAATATTTATACTTAAATAAATATATTTCGAAACCTAGTTCTAAGTTCCCCATTGCTTTCCATTTATCATTACTACCCAATGGCATACTACATCAAATCATGATATCAAAATATCTTTAAAGACAACAAAGATCACTTCAGCAGTACTGCTCAAAGGCAATGAAATAATACTTTGAGAACCTATGCGCGTGAGTTAGGCCTACATAGATCCAGCACATTGTATAATAGAATAGTTTACGCTTCTTTTAGAGTCAACTACTGCTTTGCCCTAGCCAGAGATAAAAAGCTTATCTTAAATACTACTTATCATAAATGTAGCAACAGAAAGTGGCCCTGTGTGCTATCTGATGTTGCTTGCTGGTTTTACACGTTTATTTGAAGTTACTGGCACCTGATTGCTGGTTCCATTGGTGGTATTTGTTGCTGAGCCATTCACAATGATGTAATCAACTTTGTTTTCCAATTTCACAAGGCGTTGCAAGATGTCATCCAGAAGAACAGCAATTGTTCTCTTAAGATCAGCTGAAGATAATGGAAAAAGCAAATTAGATCCTATTATTTGCTATGTGTGGAAAAGAACTGCTATTTCAACATATTCACATCCTACTATACTTTTAAAAAAAAAGACTGCAGATTAGTATACAAGTATAGAATTAAATAGCTGCTTCATTTTTCTTTAATACCGTTTCTTTAGGCAAGGAAGATACCACCATAATAGTGAACTGTGAAGGAAGCCTATTAAATATTTGAGTGTAAGAACAAAAACACTAGTTGGAGCATTAGACTAGTGGCTATTCCAAGGCAGTATTTCAGATTTCATCCAGACAACAGTACTAGAGTACCCAGCTAGGACACCTTTTAGCCTTGGACAGCAACAGAATATATTTAAATACTTTCCAACATGAAAAAGGTAGTTCTTAATAGCTTTCCTCTAAATAACAGATCTATCCCACAGAAAAACTGGTATGAGAAAGTATCTTATCACTTCTTAGATAAGCTATAAAGCAGGGGAAAAAAAAAAAATCCATGTATTTAGCTCTATTGAAAAACAAGAGAAAGGAGAGTAAAAAAATTCCCATATTCTGGAACACAAAATCAGTAACAGACCTTTCAACAAAAGCTAATTACGCTATTGCAATGTTCATACCACTATCTTCTCTCAGATTTGGAGAAAATTAACAAACTTACCAGGTTTTACAAGGTGTTAAGAGCCCCCAACACACACAGACTCTCTCCTCACCCCACCCTTCCCCCGAATCAGTTATTAACTAACCAGAAAAACTGGGGAGGAAAAACACAGGTATGAAAGTGAAAAAGGAGGAGTAACCCAGATAAAATTAAAACACTAGTAATAAATTAAAAAAAACAAAACCAAAAAACAAACCTCAAGTCAATCCCTCCCTCTAAAATTAACTAGTTCTTGTTTAGTAATGCCATCTCTGAAAAAGAAAATTTTAAAAAATTGCTTAACGATTTGAGCGTAAGGTCTGCCATCAATGACACGCTGTGGGTCATGTACGCTCCAGTATCATTCTGTGCTCAACAGTCTAAAGAAACAAATTGTCTGCTCAAGTTGTAAGTCTGATGATCAGCATGTAGATCAAGAGTTGACTTAATTTTATTAAACTTCAGACAAAAGTGTAGAAGGCAAATCTCATTTGGAAATACACTGTATGACTTCTATAGCACTAGAAAGCTGCAGTACACAAGGGTTCTTTAAAACAAATGACATAAAAAAGTAATTACACAGTAAAGGCAGGAAATTCTTGAAGACAAAAGAAGGGGGAGAATAAAAGGGGCAAGAAAAGAAAAAGTGGGCTCTTCCTGTGGTAAAAAAGTTAATTTAATGAATGAAAGAATTAAAGGCTAAGACATTTTGATGCTGTTCTCCTCCTCTTGGGTTGCTTCCTGCTCATCTAGCCATCGCAGACTTGCCTCCCTGCTCCTGAGCAGCAGCAAAAAGAGTTCAAACACATTTTTGCTGTTTGTACTCTTACCATAGCGCCTATAAAAGGGCATCCTACAACTGGTAGAGCCCATCTTTTTAAGGATTCCTTAAGAAGGGGATCAAAGTACATTAATATAAATCTTCACATATTTTTTTAATATTTCTTTTTAAGCTTTGTACTACCCTTATTTTCACAGATACATTTTTTCCCTTTATGACAGAACACCGGTAGTTTCTTCAAACCTAATCCTTAAGGGCTTAACTAGAGTTCATTGTAGTCTTCCCTCAAAAGAAGCTACGAGGGACCAAAGAGTTAAAATTATTAAGACATTTGCATTGCTTTCCAGAAAGATCTCAAAACTATAGTCTCAAAATTCTCTTCTCTGTATTTTAGAAGACAGGCACAGGCTTTCGTAACATATTACCAATGAATCACTAGAAACATATTCATCAAGTTAACAGGTAAATCAGAGAGATGCAGCAAGTCTCAAAGCTCTAGAGACAAGGGACCTTACAGCTACTTCTAAAGCAAGAGGAGATTCTGCTAAATTCTTAATTGCATTGCAGTCTGAAGACTGCAAACTCGACTAGTAGGTTGCTTTCCACTGCTTTTTTACTATGTAAACAGAAGAAACTTAAAGAAATAAAAGCCTAATGTTACTAATGAGGCACAAGAAGAATCTGCAATGTTGAAGTGACTTAATTGAAAACTCCGTCTCTGTATCAACCACGCGCCTACTCCTCAATAGCTTAAGATTCAGAAAAAGCACAATGTTGCTGTTCATCCTGTAAGTAACAGTAGTCATACACCTGAAGCTATCTAAAAAATTCCTGGAAAACAAAAATCTCTGTCTCAAGCTTGATTTTGCACCACATCTTAGTCTTCAACTTCACTGAGTAAACTAAAATCTAATCAGTTAATACAGAGGTTTTTCTCTTCAAGAGCAGTATACATTACTTTAAAAAAGAAAAAAAAAGTGTAACTTTACAATTTTCAGGAAAAAAAGATACTCAAATAACTAGTACGTTTTTCTCCTCTTACCATATCCTGCCATAGAGGCTCCACCGCCACCATTCATTAAATTTTTATTTTCTTCTGCCAGTGCTTTGACATATCTTTTACTTAGATCTAATATTTGTCCACGCAACTCGGCACTGCTTTGGCGTCTTGGATACTGAAAAGTGTAGCGTAGCAACATCAAACCCCAAATGATTCCAAAAACTAGTAAAAACATACTCAGTTTCTGGGACATATTTTTTCTTGAAAATGTTAGAAACATTTCTGATGAAGGCCACAGGTATCTCTTAATTTTAAGATAAGTAATTGAACTTGGCTTTGTCAAATTATATTACATATTAAACAAAAATAAGATTTCTATGAAGTGAAAAATCTTCTGGCTGGATCATCTTGAATACATCATTTCATGTTTTAGTTGGTCTTGATTCCTGAAATTTGCAAAATATTACATGGTTATTCAAAACTGCTACAGTTGTTGAGATCAAATACCAGTTTCCAAATGCAGTATTACTGCATAATCTAGCAAATAGTTACGGATTTGTATCTACTTAGAGGTGCAGTCGTCTTGCTATCTCACTTATTGTTCACAAGGTTTCCTCTTCTATTTTTACCAATTTTTATTCTCCAAAAATCAAAACTCCTATGCTTCAAAGAATCACCTTAAATATTTTAAAAACCGTAATTTGAACTGACATTAAGCCCAAATGCATTTAAAACAAAATACAAAGCCTAGAAGAGCCTTGTAAAACACTTGTACACAATATTTTGATGAGTTACACACATATAGCTACCCACAAGAAAAAGATCTTGTGAAATTATTTACTTGATTCTTATTCCTCACTTAGAAGCACAGGGCAAATATAAACAGATAAAATGCAGAAGTTTCTTGGTTGGTCGGTTAGTTCAAAGTTTGGCATCATCCTCTTCTGGTTTTGTAAAGCATTAAGATTTTTTTTTTTGTTTGGTATCTTGCTAATAAATAAATAAACCAAAAATGAACTGGCACATTGCACCCACTTTTAGCATTTTACTACCACTGTAAAAAAGTCTTACCATAGCAGCCAATTCTGATCCCTCAGTAGATTAAGGCTTCAGGAGAAAAACAAATGGTAGGAAAGCTTCAGCAGTTAAACAGCAAATGTCCAGACAGTTTGAAGGAACATGAGCTAGACATCTTCAGGGAGCTCCGTACTGGTGGGAGGGAAAAAAAAAAAAAAAAAAAAAATTAAAAAAAAAAAAGGGCAGATTAAACAAAACAAAGTGCAGGACTAAAGAGACCTTCGTTTTCATGTGGAGTGGTTGAAGCTGAGGGCTTCCAGCCACATGCTTTTAGAACAGAAATATATTTTTAAACCTAACTTGAAGCAGTTTTACGGAAAAGCATAGAATCCATTTTATTATATATGCATATATTTGAATGCCCAATAACTGATTTCAACATACTTTAAAAAGTAAAACTTGTTAAGAATCTCACTGAAATGTGTCCCTCCTTTTGTGTCATAAGACAGTGACAGCCAATGTTCCAGATTCATCATATATATACATACACATATATTTACATATGCATCATTCTCTTCTTCATTCCCCCCCAAAATGAATCTGACCTTTTCAGTCTCTTTACATGTGCATACCTCATATTTCTCAACTTTTCAGCCACCTCTGAAACTTCTCCAATTATTCGATAATTGGGAGGGAGTTTCCACTATTTAACATCATCTGGATAAAGCTACTCATTTTACGCAACAGTTACGTTTTCTCTGTTATTCCCTGTTCTTCCCCACATATTACCTGACATGAGGACTTTTCAGACTGAAGTTACACATTTAAGAGTTCCCCACCAGACTTTCTATAGTGGTACTTAGGTCTCCGGTTTTATTAGAATATTGAGACTGAGTTTCTTGTCCTGCTAAGCGCTCATCTAAACTTTACTCCGCCTCCACAGTGGTTTTCATCGCCTGTGCTGCCCAGTTCAACTGGCCTCATGCCAACACACGTCTCTCCACCAGCAGGGTTCCGAGTTGTGCTTGTTGCTTACCCTTCACCTTCACTCTTCAGATAATCCTCTCAATAGGCAGGCCAACATGACCGATTCAAGTGGCAAATGTTAAAAGTTCTTTAAAAATCAACATGCACATCTAAATTATTCTGAAAATGATCAACCCAAGGCAGGGGCAATGTTAGGAATTAGACACCGAAGTTTCTGTAAAGTAGCAAGTTACTGTATGTAAAATGCCCTACAGTAACTGCAAGTACATAAAATCTTGCTTTTACTGTTGTGTGTACTAACATAAGTGGCAATCACAAGTCACTGAACGAGGAATAGCTTACTTCACCTTGACTGTGGGATATGACCATGGACACGGACAGATAGCCAAAATGCAGTAATTTGAAATCCCACTGTAAATTCAGTGGGATGTACTCTGTTCAGAACAAAGAATATGTTTATTCCCAAACCCTGTTTTTAAGACACAAATTTGTCTTAAGTACATAAAAGACAAGAGAAAACAATACAAACTTACATTCTACAGTATCAGCATGAATATTTGGAATTGTTTGGTTAAAGATTTCCTGAAACAGATCCTCCCTAAACATGAGTTAACCAAAACTTCTTTTCCCTAGCTCTTTGCCAAATCCATGGCTCTGCACTGAGACTTTAAAGCATAAACTGCACCTACATTATTATACGTCTATGTAATCCCTGAATAGTATAAAATATGATGGAAACCTTTTACATATGAGGTCCAGGAGTAGGGTATTCACAGGATGGCTCAGAAGATCAAACAGTATCTCTCAAGGACAGAACACAAGTTTCAATCCCCATTCCCAAAAGTCTACATTTTATATTACTTAAAAAAAAATGCCTAAAAATAACAGATAGCTCTTGCAGAATTTCAATTAAGTTCAGCTCTCCACAGATCTCCAGCCATATCTCATCCTGACGTATTTAGACAATATCACTACAGAGCTGTGGAGTGGAAATAACTCTGCCATCACGCTGTAAATAAGACCACAAGCCAGGATAAGAGTCAAGAGGAACAGATTGAATAAACTCCTGCCAAGGAGCAGTAGGAATTGCAGACTGGGTCTTTGCCATGTATATTTGATTCAGAATGCACATGCTGTCTGCTGAAACTAGCGGAAATCAAGGACTTAACCTGCTGGGCAAATGGCATAACACCCAGATACCGACACTGGGCAAAGGAACCGAGACTGAGGCAAAAGAAAGACGACCGTGAAGATGAAGGAGTACAGCCAGGACAAAATTTGAAAATCTGGTCCTGGTTTTGGCTGGGACAGAGTTAATTTTCTTCCTAGTAGCTGGCATAATGCTGTGGTTTGGGTTTAGGATGAGAATGATGTTGGTAACTCACTGATGGTTTAGTTGTTGCTCAGCAGCGCTTACACTGGTCAAGGACTTTTCAGCTTCCCCTGCTCTGCCAGGGGCACAAGAAGCTGGGAGGGGGCACAGCCAGGACAGCCGACCCCAGCTGGCCAAAGGGCTATTCCGGACCATAGGACCTCAGGCCCAGTGTATGAACTGGGGGGATTTGGCTGGGCAGCGATTGCTGCTCGGGGACAGGCTGGACATAGGTCAGTGGGTGGTGAGCAATTGCATTGTGCATCACTTACTTTGTATGTTCTTTTATCATCATTATCATTATTATCTTCCTCTGCTGTTTTATTGAACTGTCTTTATCTCAACACAGGGGTTTTACTACTTTTTTTTTTCCCAATTCTCTTTTCCATCCCACTGGGGGGGGAGGTGGGGAGGGCAGAGTAACCAAGCGGCTGCGTGGTGCTTAGTTGTCAGCTGAGGTTAAACCACAACAGGAGGGAAAGGAAAAAAAAAAAAAAAAACCCAAAACCAAACAAAAAACCCACAACCACCCACTGCTCCCCCCTGACCTGACCATGCAGGCAAAATGACAATCCAAGAATCCATGAAGTAGAGAATATCTTCCAGACAATCCTTTCAACAGGCAGCCTGAAGTGACTGATGCAAGTGGCCATTTTTCAAAGTTCTTTAAAATCAACATGCATATCTAAATTATTCTGAAATGACCAGCCCAAGCCAGGGGCAACATTAGAACTTGGAACTACAAGCAATTCCTGAACAGAGGATCTGAGACAAGGTTTGCCTTTCACAGACATACAAAGAGTTGGGTTTTCTTCACTGTTGCCACTGCTGGTTGTCTAGGAAATGTATTGCCAATGCCTGCCAATGTGGATTTAACGTTTTCCAGCGGTACCACAATAAACACTGACATACATCTGGCAGTGAAAGCAACGAACTGAGGCACTCATCCTCTTCAAAATAAAATCACATCTCTATCCTCTGATCTGTGTTCCAACATCAGTCATATATAAATTACATTATTGAGTGCATGAAATGAAAGGAACAAGGGCCAAAGAAAAAGCAGCAGAAAGTCCATCATATGTTCCCTAAAAACACAAAGTTCTAGTATCTCTAATGCTACTTAACTAAACAGTAGCATCGGGCTCCAGTTTGAATACTGACCCTTCTCCATGGAAACCAGACCATACTTACAAAACATCATACTTGAATTTTGTTGTAAAGTCTTCCTCAGATTCTGCTTTACTTATTCCCAGCAAAACACAAAAAAATGCAACAGTCTGTAAGGCAAAGGAATGCCTCATACATCCTCTGAAACAATCTCAGGGTATCATGAAAACAAGGCATAGCCAGCTCCTTAAAAGGTTACAATGCACCTTACAGCACTATCAGTTCTGCTAGTCAGTCAGCTCATGGAAGACCAGCACATACTTGTCATGATTTTTGTAGTCTGTCCGAGAGATCCCAGCCTTCCTAAACCACTAGAAGTGGTTACTGGCATCAGCAGGGCAAATTTAAAACTATGCTGCAGAGACTGTGTGTACCTTCTAGTTTTGAAAGATGATTATTTACAAGAGAAAAAGAAAGCAGCAGGCCCATCATGTAGTTTTGGTAGTTATTAGTAAGCAGCTTTAGCAAAAAAACTAACAAAACAGAGTCCACAAGAGGTGAAGAATAGAGAAAACCAAAGCCTGAGAATCCCAATCCATTCAATGATCAAAAAGACTTTAAGGATAAAGCCAAGAAAAATGCCCTGAAAATAGTATTGTTAACATACAGTCCACTAAAGTCACCTCTTTGATTATATATTTTGAAACACAGAATGCCAAATACTGAGGCAGTAGTTCCTCAGTGATACCCTAGAGACCTATATAGGTCTCTAATGAACTAATACATTAAGAAAATCGCCTTGATAAACAGGAATTTTACTCAGTTATTACTTACTACCATAATACTTGTCTGTTCTTCACTGCCAAATTATGATCAACAACAAGACACAGTGAATTCAAAAGCAAGTCTGGCTTTGTGACCAATTATTATTATTATTATCTGTATAAACACAAGAAGTGATTTATCAAGACAGATTAAAAAAATACAATGTCAGATACAGTCATAGGAGACTGCATCCAACTACAGACAGAGGAAGGGGAAAAAAAAAATCTTGTAACAGAACAGACAGCAGACAGAAACTAGGACTGTACAAATAAAAGCTGACATGAATAATTACTATTAAATAACTGTACAGTACAAAATTATAATTTATTACAATCTCAGCGGGAGTGTAATGAGTTTATTATTAAGGATTTAAAATTAACATACCAGAATTACGTCTATGTGAGAAATCTCTATTAAATTCATGGCAGCAAACATCTCACAGTACAGTGAGAGTACTCTGTAAGTAAACAATAACCTGTGCTGTAAACAGGCACGATGATACCTCACCGCAATAGCCAATGAACATTTCAGGAAGACAAAAATCACGGGGCATTACAGAATACCAGGAAATATTTCCACAGTTTTATCAGCTCTATCCCATTAGTTTTCTTTTTTGCATCAATTTAGAGTGTGCTCCCCCCACCCCTGGCCCATTTACCTCTGTGACCTCCAAAATCTTTTGTTTTCTGATTTTCCAACAGAAAACTGAGCATCACGGTCACTCAGCTGACAGACATCGCGCTGGCCATTCCAAGAGCAGACAGGCTAGTCCTATGTTATTTGGAAACCTATCGGCACAGTCGCTGCGCAGCAGTGAAAATGGGAAGTCTAAAGAATGACTGACACACACACAAAAAAGCACAGAACATATTCACCAACCAACTAATCTTTGAAGATGGGGACAACGAAAGCACGTAGAAGCCCAGAAGCTACGTGCTGAGACTTTTTGGAATACCAAAAATGATGTTTGCATTCTGGCAATTTGCAGTCTTAGATGGCTATGGGTTTGGCTGTAGGAGAAAAGCCTGCAGGAGGTGCAGCTGACAAGCAGGTGCCCCAAAGAAGTTAAGTATATCCTGTTACACAGGACCATGATTACTGGCAATACACAGAAACTTTAGGTCTCCATTCCTACACATAACATAAACTCCCTTTAACAAATCATCTTACCCACACCATTCATATTTAAAACTGGTGCCCAAGGAAGAATCACATTCCTCATATTTGTAAGAGCACATGAGTTCTTGAAAAGATGCCAATATAACCATATTCCTGTACTAGCACATCTGTACTGTGACTTTTGCAGACTGACACTGCCCTTTGGTTCCCAGGTTCATTAATCAGGTTTGCTCAGACAGCTGCATAGCACCGTAAAAGAGCAGAATATTCTACTTCGAAGCAAACAATTAATAGTAATGCATGCCCCCAGACAAGTAAAACTGTTTGAGCTGTCTTTTGACGAGATCAACTCTCAGCATGTTAAGTATTCCTATTATTGTTGCTATAAAACTTGGTCAATAGAAAAATGTCACCAGCAGAGAGGGAAAGGAGGATACCCTACTGACAAAACCTCAGCGATGCTGACACAACAGAGCCCATCCAAATGCTATACCTGTGTGTTGATGAGACTTGAGGCTCTTTCAAGACTGCATTATAGATCAGTCAATAGAAGAGAGAACTTATATTACTACCTGCTAGGCTCAAGTGAAAAGAACAGCACTATTACAGCACACTGCCATCTTAAGAATAGGTAAGAAGGCATATTTCTGGCCAAAAAAAGGCTGCCCGTATCAGTATGATGGCTGGCAGACTGCAGGTTTTAGCAGTTCCGTACCACTTTTGGAATGCACTGTCAGAGGAGTCTGCCTAGTGCTTGGTGTCTTTTCCAGGACATCTATCTTTATACCTTCTCCGACAGCATATGTTCCTTCATTCCCTGCCTCTGCATGCCCTAGACTTGCAATTACCAAGGAACGCTGAAAAAAAAAAAAAATTATCCCTTTGCCTTATTGCTACCAGTCTTTCGAAGAATACCTTTAATGGATATTCCAAGTAAAATCATAGAAAGGCATGAGGTTTAAGGGAATAGCAAAAATGGGTAAGTAAATACCAAGAATACCTATTGTTCTACAGTGCCGCAACAAAGAAAGAAGAAAATCTCCTTGTCTGCTCCCACCAGTTCCTGTCTCTCAATGCAGCCAGAGGGTATCTGGGCCAACAAAAGTCACAGCTCACCAGGCAGGCAGAGATCTCAGCGCTGGCAAGCTGCTGGGACTACCTCAAACATCTTAAACCAGGAAGTTTTACCTCCTACAGGCTTCTAAGAAAAGCACACAACCAATTTGTTTTGTAGCTGGACTTTGAGCTAAAAGCAAACCCAGATTGCTTTAGACTTGAAAACCCACACATCAAGTTTGCAATGGCTCTGGTATAAAAATCATCTGAGTGCTCAAACACTAGATTACCTGTTGTACTTCAATATTTTAGAAATGCTGGTGACTTGTTTCTATTTTGAATGCATGTAGTACTATTTGCATTGGTTTTATTTTACACTTTCTGCCAACAATTATTTTTATATTGCATTATGTCCAAGGAGTCTGCTTAAGTACTTTTTGGTACCTTAAAGTATCCTGCCTTTTTTTTTTTGCACGCCCTCCCCCCCCACCTTGATGTTGCCTACTACTGACAGTGAATGCTTTTAAAATAAACCAACTATTTAAAAACAGAAAATCTTTGTTCCTTGCCTGTGGGCAGTCAGCCAAGATTCAAGATTTTGAGATGGGAAATGACTTGGCAAGGGTTGTGAAGAAAATTAAGCAAGCAGATATCAATGGGGACAGTATATTATATTTACTGAAGTTCCCCTCTTCCCACTGTGGGTCCATCTGGGCCTGAAAACATTTCTACATCTCTGTATCAGCTTCTTATTAAAAAAAAAAAAAAAAAAAAAAAAATCTCATCTTCATTCCATCTGGGATATTTATCTTTATGCCTTATTGCTCCCATTTAGGTCACAGTAGGACCCTTG